ATAAATTATGCACATAAAGATTATAAAGTTTAAGTATTACTACAACGTGATTTTAAAATAGAAACAACGTTGCATAAATACAGTGTTTAATTCACGCATTACATTCACGGCCATGTTTTCTCATTTAAATACAGATTAATAAAAATCATAATCATAATATTGATTTGATTTTAAAAGAAAGTTTTAAAATGAGATGGAAAAAAAAACCCCGGATGTTAGGTTATAGCCAGAGAAAGTAAAAAAAAAAAAAAAATGGCAAAAAGTGAGAATGAGATAGAAAAAATTAAGATAAAACGTAGAGAGGTGTTGTACTACGTAAGTGTAAATTCTAAAATTATTAAATGTATATAGAAAAGAGTAGAGGGGAGGGTTGTATATCTTAATACACAGACGGACTACAGGATAATAGTTGTTTATCTTAATACACATACAGACTTTAGGATAATAGTTGTATATCTTAATACACATATATACGGACTACAGGATAACAGTTATATATCTTAATACATATACGGACTACAGGTTAACAGTTGTATATCTTAATACACATATATACGGACTACAGGATAACAGTTGTATATCTTAATACACATATATACGGACTACAGGATAACAGTTGTATATCTTAATACACATGTATACGGACTACAGGATAACAGTTGTATATATCTTAATACACAGACGGACTACAGGATAACAGTTATATATCTTAATACACATATATACGGACTACAGGATAACAGTTGTACATGTATATCTTAATACACATATATACGGACTACAGGATAACAGTTGTATATCTTAATACATATACGGCCTACAGGATAACAGTTGTATATCTTAATACATATACACGGACTACAGGATAACAGTTGTATATCTTAATACATACACTGTATACGGACTACAGGATAACAGTTATATATCTTAATACACATATACGGACTACTGGATAACAGTTATATATCTTAATACATATATAGGGACTACAGGTACCGCTGATTAAAGATAGCAAAGACTTTCAAAATAATCAGATCATTTTTATGCCCCCGTATCGAAGATTCGGAGGTATATAGTTTTTGCCCTGTCCGTCCATCTGTCTGTTTATCTGTTTGTTCGCAAAAACTTTAACATATTGCCCATAACTTTTGATTGGTTGAAGCTATGGCTTTCATATTTCACATGTGTATTCCTTGTGACAAGACCTTTCTTTGGGTACCATCATATGTGACTTTTTGACCTTGAACTTGGAGTTTGATCCAGTTTTACAAAATTTTACCCAACTTTAACCTTGGCCATAACTTTTGAACAGTTGGTGCTAGGGCTTTGATAATTCACATGTGTAATCCTTGTGACAAGACCTTCCTTTGGATACTAACTACTTTGACCCTTTGACCTTGACCTAGGAGTTTGACCTACATTTGAAAAACTTTAACCTTGGCTATAACTTTTGAACGGTTGGTGCTAGGGCTTTCATACTTCAAATGTGTAATCCTTGTGACAAGACCTTCCTTTGGATGCCAACAACTTTGACCCTTTGACCTTGACCTTGGAGTTTGACCTTCTTTTGGAAAACTTTAACCTTGGTCATAACTTTTGAACGGTTGGTGCTACGGCTTTCATACTTCACATATGTAATCCTTGTGACAAGACCTTACTTCGGATACCAACAGCTTTGACCTTTTGACTTTGACCTTGGAGTTTGACCTACTTTTGATAAACTTTAAACTTGGCCATACCTTTTGAACGGTTGGTGCTAGGGCTTTCTTATATCACATGTATATTTCTCGTGAGAAGGCCTTTCCTAGGGCACCATTAATTTTGACCTTGACCTTGATGTTTGACTTATCTTTGAATTTTTTTTTACCTTTTATATATCTTTTAAATGGTTGCTGCTAGGGCTTTCATATTTCACAGGTATATTCCTCGGGACAAGAACTTACTTTGGGTACCAACATATTTGATTGCATTTGAGAAAGTTTAACCTTCGCTATAAGTTGCCATACGGGGGCATCAGTGTTTCACAAATACATCTTGTTTTTTAAAAGTATACTGCGAAGGAATCGGAAATCCACTGTAAACAAAATAAAATATCTGATTTATTTTATAAAAAGGGACGAGGATGCATATTTATGACTAAGATGCTTGGTATAATATCTGATAAAAAGCGGTAAATTTTCTATGAGTAATAATGACCTCATTTTATTTTCGATCTAGGTCCATATAGGAAATTTTTGGGGAAGTCCATGATTATTCCTTACTCGTCAGACTGATAAACATGTGCATGCACGGCAGAAAATTAAGTTTGTGGTCCTGTCAATTTTCTACCTTTAAACTCCGTATTTTACATGAAATTAAAACTACGGCTTTAACTTTATGCACAGACAGAACAAATTTTATGAATGGGTTTATTATCCTTGATCTAATATGTATTTTGTCTGAATAAGCTCTGCACCGAACGGAAAGTAAATATTGACGTTCCATCTCTGTATTTACACTACACTTATTAGATAAGTAAAACTAAAGTAAAAAACAAATATTACCTTAAATAAAGAAACTTTACCTAACCTTAACATCTTTGGTAATGTACACGCTGCATTGAAATGATGTTCTATGCATTCAGTTGCTAACTGACTTTGGAAATAACTATATAGTGCATAATTCAATGGAAAACAACCTCCTGCTTACTGCAGTGTATTTTTTGTTGTAATTATTACGATTTTTAAACAGAAGATTAAGCTTAACATGAAATTCAAACAAATTTGTCACATCGAAAGGAAAAATAAAACATTTCATTACTGGACGTGATTTTTCACAATGGAATTGCGGATCAAAACCCTCCATCTTAAAGTTACATGTCTTAAGGAAATATAGTTCTTATTTTTGCCTTATAGATATCCACCTTTAACAGTTGTAATAAAATTTTCAAGAACACTGTTTCATTTTCTCGGCAAAGGGCAGATATATATATATATATATATATATATATATATATATATATATATATATATATATATATATATATATATATATATATGTCAATAAAATTTGCTGGGGAAAAAAACCCACATTCGCTCCTTATATAATGGTGGAAAATTCTTAACTCTAATAAGATTTTTTTTTATACCATTATCAGACCCACAATAAAGGAACCATTCCATTGAATACTTTTTATCTAATTTTACAAATATTTTAAGCCTTAAGTTAGACACTGATACATGTAAAACTATTCCTGGTTCTCTAGAGATGACATGAAGGTACTCGGTTATTTTTTTTAACATACTATACTACTTCAAAAGTAGCTGCTACCTGCTGTCATTGGTAAATTAGTTTTAAAAAACTGACACAGGAAATCACTAGGGAACTCCTTTTAAATTATTTATAAGGTAGATCAACACACCCTACAGAGGTTCAAAGGAGATCTTTCAGCTTCTGCTCTTGTCATGTCAACTTTTTGAAAGTAAAACCTGTTTATCAAAAGAATACAAGACATTACGTCTTCTTGCGCAGACAGATCTCGTATTTTTATGAATGGGCCTCTCTATCCTGATTCATGTGTATGTAGGTATACAAGCCCAATGAATTCGAAAGGAAAGTAAATATTGGTATTTGAATCTCATTTATTTACTTAGGTAAAACACCACTTATCAAAGAGGTAATACTTGGTATATTGGTACTACCTGTCTCTAAAGTGGAGTATAATACTTTTAAAATCTACGGTAAACAAAACATACATAAACATTCTCCAACTAGATAAACATTTGAAGCAGATAAGCATCTTATATATATATATATATATATATATATATATATATATATATATATATATATATATATATATATATATATATATATATATATATATATATATATATAAGCATCTTTTATATATATATATATATATATATATATATATATATATATATATATATATAGATAGATAGATAGATAGATATATATATATATATATATATATATATATATATATATATATATATATATATATATATATATATATATATATATGATTTTTAGAGGTGGATTCTTAATAAGATTTCAAGGCAATTTCAAGGAAGAGGACAATATATATGCCAGTCTGACCTTTCCCCTACAATTCCAATATTACATGTAAATACAAAACTTAAAATGGACTTTGATAAACAAACAAGTATAAATAAACATGTATTATAATTACATGCAAAAATTACTCTTAATTGCTAGCATACAAAAACTTAAAACGCCTCCCTGTATGTATAAAAGTTTAATCGCAAAGGGCAAGGTATACTATAATAGCGGCTGAATTTGGCTCCAATCTGAATACATTTAAATTTGTGATAGTTTGCGATTAAGAACTTTTAAATGATGCTTGTTTTATAACCAGTATTGATTTTGATTTTAAGTGTACATGGAGGTTACAAATGCATGACAAAGAACAGTTAACGGAATTTCCTCAATTTTAATGATTTTTTTTTATAATTTGAGATACTTTTTTATGTTGGAAAACATAGAGCACAGGCTTCCCTGTCTGAGATTTTCATATACAAGATGTATCTGATACAGACGCAATATATGAACAAAGATATATCTGATACATTGTACTGACTCATAATATATAAAATTTGGTAGGACACGCTTGTGATCTGTGTTTTCTGAACAAAAAAGCTAGTGTGAAATGTACGCGTTCTGGGAACCATGTTTTGGTAAAAAAAAAAAAAAAGAAGGTCTTTGATCCCCAAAGATGAAAATAAAAACTTGTGATTTCTATATATTCTTTCACTTAGAACCAATACTCATTTTGCAATAAGGATGAAAACAGGTTTTTGATTATGAACTATTACTTGTACTTGTTCTCAGAGAATTCCTAAACCAGGGGCCAAAAAGGGGTCTTAACCTCTCTTGTCCTTAACAATCCATCTTTTTTAAGTGAAAACAGAAATATTTAACTTTATATTAAGTATCCTTTAATGACAAGGACATGTACCTCATAATAAACCATAACATAATTTCGTTTTGTTTAATTGCTTTACTTTATTCATATTTATCAGCAGACATATTTGATATGCAAATCATTAATAAATCACAAGTCTCCAGTAAGATTATGCACAAAATGGATGTGTTTCACTTGGAGGTTCTAGAAAGACGAAATCTCTGAAATGAAAATGAAAAGCGATTCATAATTTTACAGTTAAAGTCACATGTACATTTATATTGCACCATGACCTTTGTACATTTATATCGCACCGTGACATGTAGTACGCAGATTTCTTTTCAACACGATATTATGACACAATTTAACTGAAAATATTCTACCGACATTTCTGATCTGAAGGATTTTGTTTTTCAGCTACATGTAAGAAAATTCTCATTCACCAAATGGACATCAATTTCTAGAATCAAACTTTTCTATGAAAAATAACGTATATATACCTTTCAAATGAGAGGAGATTCAGTAAGAAAATAATTTACTATTTAAAACACCTATAAACAATAAATAAGTTCATAAATGACTTTTTACAAGCATGCTGTACTAATATAGATAGTAAATATAAACTTTCAAAATTTTCAACTCCATCCACCCTCTTTTAAAATTACCAAAACAACAAAGCAACCAATAACAGCTGACATTAGTTACACGTAAATAAATTGAGGAAAAAAACCCTCAGGTTAATTTCTTTTTTTAAAATATTAAATTTTACACTTAATAAAATACATAATTGTAATAGGTAATAATACTTTTTAAGAAAATGCATCATATTAGACAAAAACAGGCAACTGAATAACAAAAAACATTCTTACTGTTAACTTAAATAAGACATTCTGACATGAACTACATGAATAAGTACTTCCATATACAGTTGAACTTCAGTATCTCGAACAGGGATATCTTGATACCATGGATATGTCGAAGTGATTGGGAAGTCCTTACCACATTTTTCTTAAGTATTTTACACTCAATATCTCGAACTCTCGGATATTTCAAAGTTTTTTCTCAGTCCCAACAAGTTTGACTGTACATGCATTTATACAGAATGCAATTAAATGTGAAATGAGACATATGTTTATATGGCCGCAGTGAAATACCAAGAAAACAGAAATAATAAACAGATGTGCACAATAACTTTAAAACAAAATATGTTCTCATACAAATTAGACATCTAGTTGCTGCATAATAAGTAGAAATTTTGTTTCTAAAACAATAAGTACACCTCTACTAACACCAAGCACTCAAAATGATATCCACTATTGCACAGAAATAAATTATGCAGTGCCCACTTAAATGATCTAGTCAATGCATGTCTTTTTCAGGAAGTCAAATTTCCTCCACTAAACATGTAAATGGTTATGTACAGTATGACAAAATACTGCTCCCAGCCTAGCCTACCTACAACTTTCTAGCACATCTTTCACATATGTTGATTATTTTCACAACAAATTAACAGATTATAACTACAATATTTAACTTGATTTGGAATTATTTCCCCAATAGTTTTATCTATATTCCCTAAAATGAATATTCACTCCCTCTTGTGAGATCACATCATCTTGGATCGTTCAAGGCTCGCCCTGGACATCATCCCCTGGTAATATTAGGCCTGGATGACTCTAGATCTTATCTGTATCTTCTCCCATTAGTCCCATGGTTTCTGGCATTACATACGAGATGTCATCCCAAGGATGCCTGTATAACCCCTGCTTCAGACGTTTCTGGTCAAGGAAATGGCCTATAATAGAAACACATGTAGCTGAATTAGTACAATAGGTATACAGAAGTACTACAAACACAAAATATGACAATTTTGCTTATAATAAGCCGTATAAAACTAAGTCAAGACTGGAGACCATTCAGACCAACACCTTAAGGTTAAATTTGTGGAAGGGATTCTCACAAAACCTAACGGTAGGGTATGTTGCTAAAGTTGTAAACTTAAAGACATACACAAATCACCAACACAGCAGCATACATGTATAAAAGTATGCATTGTGCGTATATGTAATCATACTTACCAATGAATCCCATGCTACGACCAAGTACAAATAACCCATTGAGGGCCCCTACATCTATCAATTCCCTGGCCTCCTCACCAGTAAAGCATCCACAATTGTTCAGTAGATCAACAAATGCCACTCCAATAAAACCATCTACATTCAGAATTAAGTTTGGTTTCTAGAAAATGAAAAATACAAGACTCATGATCAATGTAATCTTTTTGCAATGAGGATCTAAATATAGCTCTAGATCAAATTGCCTTTCCACTTAGAGGCACAGAATTTAATAAAACACACCAGGTGTATCACTCATAAAGTCTAGTAATTAAGAAATTTAGAAAATGAGTTTCCCAAAATGGGGGGGGGGGAATGATAGTAAAATGGATTCAGCCCCCCTTTCCTATTTGCATGTAATTCCATTTGCATGCATACTGCATGTTAATAATGACAATAATGAATGACACAAAAAAGATCCCTCAATGCTTCCTTTAGTCCACAATTATTTTCATCTTTTACCTTAGAAGTTGTAATTTTCTCTACTTCTATAGCGTAATTCAGCAGAGGTGTAGCAGGGAAGTTCTTCTGGGCATACTCCTTAAGTATCACTACTCTCATGTCTGGATTATTGATCTGAAAAAAAGTTGGGCAAACTGAATATTGTAAGGGAATGATCATTCCTAAACATGTAGGTTTATAGCTGTAACAGGAAAGGAGAAAATATATTTCTGGATTGGGAATTGAACCTTAGATGGACCCCTGCATCACTAGTCAGAGGCCCCTGCATCACTAGTCAGGTGCTCTACCAACTGAGCTATCCAAGCTGATATCAACAGCCCAAACCATTACACAGCATTAGAATGAAATTACAGTTGAACTTCGGTATCTCGAACACTGATATCTCGAATACCATGGATGTGTCGAAGTGACTTGTAAGTCCCAACCACTTATTCTTTAAGTTTTTTACCCTGATATCTTGAATCCCTGGATATCTTTTTCCTTGGTCCCACCAAGTTCGAGATAATGAGGTTTGACTGTATTTGTAACCATACACATACATGTACATATATTTGAGGTGCTTTATCTGAACACCATTAATCCATTCTCATTGCACTCTGAATAATATATTTTGTCACTATGAAGAAACAAATCTTTTCACAGAATCGAGTCAGTAATTCAGATGTCTTAGAAACAATCATGCTCAGGATGAAGCCATTAACACATTGACTCCATGGCGTACGCATCTAGAATTTATTATAATATAATCTCAAGACCTGTATTAAACCCTTTTTTCTCAAAACTCAAATAAAAATATGAAAGTAGGGCTTCAACAGGACTATAGTTAAAATATTACTCCCAAATGTCTTTTCTCTATTTAACATGCTTATCTTACTTACTCATATGATCCTATGACCTATCCTTACTAACTAATTGACCCTGTGACCTATCCTTACTTGCTTATTTGACCATGTGACTTATTCTTCTTGATTTGACCCTATGAACTATCCTTTCTTACTCATTTGACCCTATGAACTATCATTACATACTGATTTGACCCTGTGGCCTATCCTTACAAGCTGCTTTGACCCAATGGCCTATCCTTACTGATTTGACCCTTTGACCTATCCTTTCTTACTGTTTTGACCCTTTGACCTATCTTTACTTACTGATTTGACCCTGTGACCTATCCCCATGATAAGTTTCCCCTCCTTTCTCATTTTGTTGACAAACTCCATTGGTATCATATCACTGGTATAGGCATCAGAGAACTGTTTGGCTGCTGCATCCAGGGCACCTCCAAATCTATCTCCCTGTAGGTAAAATTAGGTATTAAAAATGGAATTTCACACTTTTTAAGTCCATTAAAAAATATCAAAGAATTAATTTTTTTGTCTATGAGGATTTCAACTATCAATTCATTTCTACTTTTGTAAAACTTTATGATAAGTAACTTTAGAACTTTAATTTCCAGTTTGAATCCATTCTATACATCCAGAACATGGTAATTATGGAATTTCTCTTAATCAAATTTAATTAGAAAATGAGCTTACAATGGTGAGAAGACCAGAGGCCAGACAGGAGACCAGGTCTTTGCCAGCTCGAGCACACACAATTGTATTATGTGCCCCTGACACAGCAGGTCCGTGGTCAGCTGTTACCATCAAACACATCTCAATAAATTTTGTAGCATATTTTGGTAACCTGGGAATAAAATTTGGAACAAATATCAGTTAAAAGAAATAGCATCTAATTTAACTGCATTTATAATCACAGATTTCATTCAAATTCAACTTCATAATAATTGTGCACTGAGCAACAAATACATGTAATTCAATAGAAAGTCATTAATTTTGTTTAATGTAAATATATATCCTCTTCATTTCTTTATGTTTAAAATGGGGCTAAAAGTTCTAAAGCACAATTTTGACCAAACTTACTTGTCAAAGATGTATAATCCTTGTAAATAGAGTGCTTTAAATATTCATCTCTGACATGCTAATCCAATCTCTTTTCCTATATACAGATATTTAAACAGAATCTCTCAATACAAACCTTCTCTGAAACCACAGTAAACTAAGCACACCTCCGATACCCATATCTTCTTTAAATATGTCTGTGATTGGTATCCCAGCATACAACAGTTCCTGTCCCCGCTCATCACAGATACTGGTCATAAATGATGCAGGTTTCCTGATCAACCCAAGCTCCTGCAAAACACGAATGCACATAATGTAGTTTGCTTCCTAGACCATTTTTACATATTAAATAAGATTGTGCTTTTCTCTTAAATTTCTTTAAAGGGGAATCCAAAGGTACTTCTCAATGAAACTAACAGTCCTGAATTTACCATTTTAAACATCAATGATAGGACATCTGTCTTAAATTCAAGACACTTGATTCAAATCAAAATTTTGAAATGTTCCAACTCAAATGCAGTACAAATATCTGTCAGTACATGTATGTATATACATAGAGTACACAATTAATGTTAAACAAGAGAGTAACTTACCCTTGCCCATGTGAAGTCCATTGGTACTGTAGGTGGAGGTCTCTCAGGTTCAGGTACAATGGTTCCATTCTCAACCAGCTTGTCATAAACTTCTCTGTCCAAAACAATTATCATAATATAATGTCTTTGTGTACTTAAAATAAAGATGAAGACATGAAAGAGAAGTTAGTTAACAACAGAGAGATTGTGATACAGACCATCAGTGTGTGTTTTAAATTCACTTAGTCAACAAAATATGATCTTTTTTTATCATTTAAAATAACAATGTTCATAAGACTCCATTTTGACACTGACTTACTTGATGAGTGTGCCCAGTTCATCAAAACTTCTGGGAACATAAGCCTTTGCGTCTGTTAAGGCTTGGTTTTTAGCTGAGGCTGTTTCTGCTTCTGCATTAGCACAAGCACCTGCATGGCCAAACTGCACCTACAGTGTAATGAAAAGGAATAAGTATCAAGATACCTCTGTTATCCAATTTCTTTTCATTCTTTTTTTAATACTTTAAATATCCTTGAAGCATAAAATGTAACTTTATTTTAACAGGGATATGAAAATAAACAATATGTAATTAAAAATTACATCAGATGTGAACATTTTGGCACATGTTCCTATACACCAGGCGACCAGAGGTTTGTTTATACGTCCACTCTTCATAGCGCTCACGATGTGATATTCCTCAGTACCGCCCACCTGTTATAAATAATTACATATTAATTATATAAATATACTAATCATATACAATTTAAATATCATGTCATCAATAATAAAAACTTTTATAAAATTTTGCAAATACTTATTTACCAATACTTGGAGAAGGTAAGATCAATTAATGAAGTGAAGATTTTCTCCCTTTGTGTTGTTCATAATGGCCCAGGTGTGAATTAAATAATAAAAGTGACAGAATTACCTCTCCTAGTAATACAATCATTTTGACTTTTGGGTCATCTTGGTATCTTAATATATGGTCCATGAAAGTCGTGCCTGGGTATCTGTCACCTCCAATTGCAATCCCCTCATATACACCATTTGCATTAAGGGAGATGATGTTGTTTAATTCATTGGACATGCCTCCTGATCTAGATACATATGCAACACTGCAAAAAAAAAAAAAAAAAAAAAAAAAAAAAATTAAAAAGGGACAATGAATTAATGAGGCATTTCTAGTGGAAAAAAGAATCATGACAATTTTCCAAAAATGGGCAAGCTTCAGATAAATGCAATTAAAAATTCTGATTGAAAAGACCTATTTAAAGAATATGATTCATAACTATTTTGTAAGGAAGCAATCCTGACTGTTCCTACATGTAGATACTTTTACCTTTACAGCTGGGTTTTTTTCTTCATCATACTTTTCTTACCTCCCAGGTCTGAAGAGCTTAGATGCTAAGATATTGTCCAACATTCCTCCAGTGTTACCAATTTTAAAACATCCAGGTTTCACACCACCTACCTACAACATTATAGATTATTGATCATTTTCACAAATGAGAAGACTAGCTTTTGTTTAGCAGCTATTCTATTTTTTCTAAATCATCATTCAATCTCTCTGGGTACATTCAACATTGTATTGTTACTGTGTTGCCTGCAGACCAGAGTGACACATATACATGTAAGGTCACTTTGCTTCTGTCTGTCCATCTGTCAAACGTTATATCTCAAGAACTGTTAGAGGTAGGAGTTTGATACTTTGGTCATGTATTGAATTTAACAGTTCAGGGCTGTCCCTAAGATGTGAAATAGCAGGGGACATTAAAAAAGTAGAAGGGGGTTTGGGGCTCCTCTCCTAACAGGGGGTAATTAAGGTGGGATACCAGAATAACTGGGGGACTACGTCGTTAACTTACTGTTGCAGGTCCTATAATGAAAACTCCTTTCTCGTCAGCCTCTTTAATGATCTGTCTTGTTAGGTTTTCTGGAATACCCTCAGCAATGATGGCAATAGTATGAATCTAAACAAGAATTTACAAAATATCTCTGCAGTTAATCTTAATTTGATATTCTTATTTCCAACTAAAATGTAAAGTACCTATGTATGGTGCACCTCACCATAATGGTAACCATTACATATTGTATTGATTTTCAACAAAAACAAACTGTGCATGAGCATATCCTTTCTATTTCATTCTACTAGAGCAATTAAGTGATCCAATAAGAATATGGTGTGAAATGCTAATATTTTTTCAATCTTTCCATCACAATACCTGTGGGTATCTCATAGTTTCCATGGTGCTCTCAAAAGCCGACCTTAGTGAAGCAAAGCTGATGAGGACGTCTGCCTGTGGGTGCTTCTTCATTGCATCAGCCATGTTCTTGTACACTATAAAACAGTACCCATCATAATAATTATTATGAAATTTTTAACAATGCAAATAACATGTAACAAGTCATACTTTCAACAACTCAGTATTTTCTCTCTGTATCCCATCTACAAATGTAACATTTTACCTGGAACAAGGATTTCTTTATGTCCCCAGTAAAACTTCTGTTTGTGGTCTCCCCTATAAATGTTCAAAACAAGTTTACATGTATAACTTCTCAAATCATTTAATATCTTAAGTGACTGGAATAATTCCTCCTGACAATTATCCACTTACGTAAATGGATATATCATGGCCACCACAGAAGGGTCTCGTCTGGAGCAGACATAATCAAAATCCAGCATCCCCTGTACTGCTCTCTGCTGCATTCCCCAGACGATGCACTGAGTCTTCTCTGTAAATAAGGGCTGTGTCTTTTCAGACTTTGATGTGACCTTTTGACCTTCATCTTGGACTGTGACCTTGACCTCAGATTTTGATGCTGGTTCATTTACTGATCCTCTTCTGCTAGTTGACGGAGAGGCCTGAAAAGATAAAGGTTTGTCAATTAAATTACATACAGTAAAACACGCTTATAGCAAACATGCTTATAATGAATTGACACTTAAAGTGAAGTGTTTTTCATTCCCTGTGACTTTAAAATATGTTGTAGACTTAATGGATGTAATGAATTATGCTTATTACGAAGCAAAATAGTCCGTCCATGGCAGTTTGTTAAAACTGTGTTTTACTGTATACATATGATGCTAAATGCTTGTAAGTACTTTGAGGATCATATCTGTGAACCACATATTAATCACAAGAATTTTACTTATGCACATTTTCTATATAACTGTGTTATAGATTCATGTTATTGTTGGCTGTATCTGTAATAGTTTATTGTATGAAGGGTGCAAGAAATTTTTTTCTCACAAATAAATCTAGTTTACACATGTAACTGTCTTCAATACAAGTGTAAATATCTACTCAATCAAAACACATCATTCAATAACTTGAAGAACAACAACCGCTTTAACAACTACTTTCTACCAAACCTTTAATTATTACTGGTATAGAGTATTGGATTAAATACGTATAGCTACATGTATAATTATGTATATACAGATGAATTTAGTGAGCCAAAAAAAAGATAGATCTGTATTTAATACCTACATTTACATGTATGTAAAGTGAGAATGTATCAAAATCATTTCATTATTTTAAAAAATTAATAAAGATGTAAAAAGTCCAGAAATATTTATTTGACCATGCAGTACTCAATCTTTCTTTCCTCTCTGCTTAAAAGATTACGAAATAGACCAATTTACTGAACAGTGATTTTTTTTAAAATTCAATTTGCTTAATGTAAAATTTTACACCATTACATATAATTGTTTACATCAATACAGAAAAACAAAAGGCCCATGGGCAATAATTCTAACCTGAATCACCAATAAATATTTAAATATTCAATGTCTTCAACTATAACTTCAACAAAGTTAATTTACTAGAGAATACAGAGTGGCTTGAAATCAAGTTAACAAATTGTTTTATTGCTCTTGCTTAAACTTGTTACTGTGGTCCAAACCATGCTTTGAAAAAATTTAAAATGTTCTTAGCATGAGGATATGTGCTTCAATATTATCATTTTTTATTGTAGCTCTGTTGTTTTTCAGAAGATTCCCTATATAATCCAATGTAAACATTTACTCCTTATATTATATACTTGTCCCTTGTCCCATGGACTATGATTTGAACAAACTCTTATCTACACTTTATGGGGGTGCTTCCATATTAATATGACTATAATTGAAGCCTTGATGTTTTTAAAAAGAAATTTTTCATTCATAATAATCTGTAATTCTATTTTCCTCCTTAGGGGCAATGACTTCACCAAAATTGAATCTAATATACTTGATAAAAAATCTTTCCTGAATTTTTTTTCTTGTCTGACCCAGTGGTTCTCAGAAAAAAAGTATTAAAAAGGTATTAAAAAACCCTACTCTATCTTCCTTATTTCATGACAATGTTCTCTTGAAAAGTGGTTTGGGCCTTAATTTTGAATAAACTTGAATCCCTTCAACCTAGGATGCTTTGTGCAATGTTTCGTTGAATCTGGTCTACATGTAACAGTTTTTGAGAGAAAGTTGAAAATTGAAAAGTTGACAGTGACAGACAGATGGCTAATGGATAAACCTCACTGGAATTTTAGCTCATGTGAGCTAGAAATAAAGCAGAATCTTTCTCGCATTCTTAATGAAATGGGAACAGCACTCAGTGCTCAACATCAAAACTTCTAATTCATTTTTCAAAATTGATTTCATTATTTTTAACATGTCCAAGGTACGAAAACACTGTTCATAACATGCTTTAATGCTTGTCTCCAAAGTTTGTAATATGGAAAAAAAATTGACAAAAAGCTTGAACTATTACTTAGAAGGATTGTTTGAGAACTGGTCCTGTCTATGGATTGGAAGCCATCCAATGGAAATATCAGAAGAAAGAAAAAAGTATACACTATCACAGTATTGCATTTCAGCAATCTAATCACTTGAAGGTCAGAATCACCATTCTGGAAAACTCGTCTTGCAAAAAACACTTGTAAATGCTGCATTTCAAATAATGAAATAAATAAAATGAAAAAGAAATCACAATCTCATGCTCAAAATACAACACCAAACTTTACCCCCAAAGACATCCCCTGCTGACAGTAAAATGAGGGAGCCTGAAATATTACATATAATGGTGAAAGGAACATCAAACTCTGAACACCACACAGTGTATTGTCAAACTGATAGTTATCACACGTACATGTACAATGATTGACATATGAAAGAACAAGAGGCCAAGGGCCTTAATGGTCACCTGAGTTTCACGTTTTTCAGGCTATGACTACTTTTAGCCCACCTGAAACTGGCTTAGACTTATTATATCACAATACAATCATATTACCTGGAGATGCTTCCAATTTAAAAAAAAATGACTAATCATGTCCCTGTTGTTCTTGAGAAAAACAATTCAAAAAAAAAAATATCATTTCATACATTTCCATGTAAACTTTGATCTTCTCGTATGGCCCCATCCTACCCCTAGGGGCCATTAATTGAACATGTTTTAATCTGCAATACCTGAGGATGCTTTCATATTTATATGACTAATCATGGCCCTGTTGTTCTTGAGATGAAAATATTGAAAGATTTCTTCCTTTTTATTTCCTTGTAAACTTTGATCCTCTTCTGTGTCCCCACCCTACCCGGGGGCTATGATTCGAATAAACTTGAATCTACATATGTCAGAAAGCTTTCATAAAAGTTTCAACTTTTCTTGAGAAGAAGATTTTTAAATGACCCCACCTTTTTTTCTCATATCTTGTTTATCTCCCTTTGGAAGGGGCTTCATTTGAAGAGGAAAATACTGGAATTCCCTTCACTCAAGAATATTTTGAGGCAAGTTTGATTGAAATTTGTCTAGCCTTTCTTGAGAAGAAGTTGAAATGTGAAAAGTTTACAGACAACAGACAAAAGCAGACAGCAATAGGTCACCTAATAAATATTGGTACTATTTTAGAATGTTATCAATGCTTTAAAATCTATATAAACTTGCTGATTTTAAAATTAGAATGAATTGATTTAGAATCTGAATGAATTAAATATTAAGTATGCTGTGAACATGCACAATCTGAGGCCACTGATAGATGAAACCTTTATGTGGAAATCTTCATACATGAATGTCTTAATAAGCAAATATAGGTCTGGAATAAAATTGTTCATGCAAACAGACACAGGCAAGTAAAGCAATTCTCCATAGTTTATAAAAATATAATAATATACCAATGTAAACGGTTTTTACTATGTGTACATGTGTAGTATTAAATGACTGCTCTTTTGAAGATTGGTTGAATGCTGGAGTCTTCTCTTTTAAAAGAGTAGGAAAAATGTTAGTAAAATTGTTATGATTTTTTCTGTTGTATTACATACAAGTTAACTACAGCTATACTAATGACAATATCAATATCAAAGTGCTCAATATTACCTGAACAACCTGTAATTAAATATAAAAAAAAAGTTCACTTTTTGTCACATATAATTTTCTATTAAAGAGCAATTTTTAAAGGTTTTTAATGGGCTTTGCTATGCACATATATGCATGTCCTGCTAAATATTGTAAAATGATGCTGTAGAAAATTCTAATTAATAAAAAACACCAAATATAAGTCTAGTCAGAAATTTTCAATTCCTTGCAAAACTAGTGTTAAATACTGGCATGCTCTGATGTTATACAGCAAAATCTTTAAAGCAATATTTTTTAACATACACTTTAGACACCTACCCCTCCTGTTGGCAACAGGAAGTTGGCTGTTGTGTTCATGGGACGTGGTGTTAATGGAATTTCTCTCTTCCCCAGAGCCATGCTGACAATGGCTGTCATATGGGTTTCTGGACCAAATACATGGATGGGAATGCCCAAGGTATTTCCTGTGATAAAAATATAAAACGTTAACAAAATATAATTATTTTAATGAAATGCAACAACAAAACATACACTTATCTGAAAATATGAAAATGACGACAGAAATTGCACGGAGTTCATGAAACTGAATACCAAAATGTTTAAGTTAACAAAGAAAGATTTGAAAACAATTTTTCTTATATGTACCCAGTTCTCTCATGATCCTGAGTCCCTCTTGATAGTTTGGTCCTGCTCTCCTGACATACACACTAACATTGCCTTCTATCAGCTTCTGTTGGTATTCTCTTAGAGCTCTAACAATGCCCTGAAGCAAATACTGAACTTAATATCTAATCACTATTCAAAAACCAATACTTCATGTAAAATATAAAAGCAATTTAAACTCAAAGAAAATGAATGTATCATTGGCTTTTTTTTCTTCTATGAAGCAATAATATTATGAGCACTTGTTCTTTTTCAAGCAGAAATAGCTTAGATTGGTGGGAGGGGGATAAGATACATTGAAGTGGCAAACTTAGAAGCAGTTATAAAGGCATAATATGACTTTGTTTTTGCAATACCTTAAATGTGGCAGCTACGTTTGTGAAGTTAGCTATGCCCCCTCCAATGATGAGGATTTTGCCGTCAGGGTGGATCTCTGATGTCATAAGAGACAGGATGGTCTTGGCATACTCGTAAGTCTGCTGCTCACTCGGTGCTCCGGAGTACTCACCATAATTGGCTAACTCCTTTGCTCCTCCCAAATCACAAATTGTGTCACTGAAAAAAAAAAATCAATAATAATGCACATATATTATAAATCTATTCATCCTAACACTACATTTCCATGTACATGTAACCATAAACCTCCATATAAAGATCCTGTTAATAGACTTACGCATATATGACAGAAGCTCCACCTCCTGCAACCATGGTCCAGATTCGACCAGATTTGTTCAGAACAGTCAGTTTTAAAGATGCTCCACTCTTAGCATCTAGTTCAGCAATGTATGCTTCCTAGAAGAAAAAAAGCAAGATTTCATCTTCTGGCTTCTCGAAGTTGTATTTTTAAAAGAACTGATGTAATCAAGGGAGGAATTGAAATAGATGTACAATTTTGTTTAACTTACTTCAGGGAGAGCATCCCTGCCAAAAGGTGGAGGAAATTCCAGATCTCCCCACAAAGATTTACAGAGGTATTCAGCACACTGGTCAATCTTAGCTGCCAGGTCAAGAATGTAGATTCTTCCTCCAGTGAATACTGTTAGGTAAAAGTAACATTCACTGTACATGTAGTGCCATGATCACCATACCATAATTATACAATATTCAAACTGAATACCAGTAATATTACAAGACCAATTTTATCTTACTATAGATAGTAAGGCTCATCATACAAAATTCATTCATTAAAAGAAAAATATTATCAAAACTTTATCTATCATCTTTTTTTTTTCTTTTGGAGTTAAATTCTTTGAAATGCAAAGAGATTTACTTACCTAATGGGTTAATTTCTAAGTAGGTAAAATATAAGTTTCTGTACTCAGTGAAGAGGGCCTTGATAAACTTTGTCAAGGGTCTGAAAAATTACCAGTGCGTATCAAAATTTTACCATTTTACTAGATACATTGTAAACTACAAGTACTTTATAAAAATATTGTAATTCAAGTTTTCAATATACAATAACAGTAATAGTTTGTGCAAAACTAATTTTAATGATAGTTGTATGAATTTCTGAGAGAATTGAAAGAATAGCATGCATTGACAGGTAGCACTGTTTAAACTTCTGAATAATGCACAACTAAAGGGCAGTAACTTTTACAGTGCATCAAGCTTTAATACGAAGAATTTATCTACTCACTCTTGGGCCACTGTAGGAGCTTTTGACAACAGTTTGGATTTTATATCAGAGTCTGAGAGTTCCCCCAGGACAGGAATCTCTAGTTTTACTGCCTATAATGGTACAGATAATCCTTTTAATTAGTATCTAAACAAATATGACCTGATGAGTGTCTTCAAAATGAAGTATTCAGTATATATAACCAAAATGCATTTTTAAACTAGTAGAAGTTCCACATAGGTTTTTTTTTTTTTTTACAATTAAAATAAATATTTAAATGAATCTGACATAATTTTATTAATATTCTAACTGAGTACATCAAGATGTAATACTACTAATACCTTTGAATCTACATCACCAATGTCTATCCCCCCTTCATGATGAAACAGTATCGTATCACAATGTCTGGAGGAATATATACACAGGTAAAATTCCTCACTCTGAAAACAAAAACCAAATAAACAACAATAAATAAATTCAAATTGAATTTTACCTTTTGTTTAATCAAAAAATTTCCATATCACAAGATGTTTTATATATACATGTACACCATGTACACTGCATACAACAAATAAACATACTGGTATTAGATTTTATAAACTCATTTCTCATCATTCATGGTTGTGACAGAGTTTACAATTTTAATTTATTAATGAATATACATGTATATAGAAATGGTAGAAAAAGTATAGTATGAAATAACTAAGTAATTTTCAACATCCTTGGCATTAAAAATGTTAATTATATACCTGTTCATGTTTCACAAATGGTTCAATCACAAAGTGTTTGAGTTTTCCTTTAGCTGCACCAATCTACAATAATCAAAATAAGACTAGATAATAGCATTTATACGATACCTTATAAATTTAATCTATTTCATCAATTCCTGGCTTTTTCTATCTTTTCAGACTTGTATCTCCCTAGCACTTTTAAACTCATTCAATGCCATACAAGTACATATGGATAAGACCACGGAACATTAACTGGCAAAATTGGAAATATGTGGCTTACATCATTTCCATCTGTTACAGTCAAAATTTAATGATAGACAATGAAATGGGCGGATACAATTCGACACGGACATCCGAGAAAACATTAGATTGAAATTCTAGCTTGAAATTCATTTTCAATCCACCTCAGCTACTCTAGAACGCACGGTGTTACTGATTGACTCAGAAGACATATATAATTTCAATTTCGGAATAGTTTGAAATTTATATAAATCAGAATTTTCTGTCAAATGTTTTTAAAGAAATATAAAGTGTGACAAATATTTGTTTGGTATGTGTATGTGTGTGCTTGGGGGGGGGGGGGGGGGGGGCTGAACGATCCTGGAAGTAAATAAAGTTTTCTTTTAGTTTGGACAACCCCTCCCTGTTTTTTTTTTCAAACATTTTTCAGCGAAGACAAAGCTATAAAAAAAAAAAGCTCTTGTCATCCTAGAAATAAATATACTCTGTCATGTGAAGGCATGATCTGACACCCCCCCCCCCTTTCTAGAACGAAATGGCCGTCCCCTGAAAAATAATCTCTGCCTTCTACTACTTTTACGTGTCCTTAAAATTATAGGCTAAAAAACTCATATAAATATGAATTTCAAACATGTATTTGGGATTTGAAATTATTTGTCATTCACACTTTAGGTTTGAAAACAGCTCAAGTGGATTGAAAATGAATTTCAAACCAGAATTTCAATCCAATGTTTTCTCGGACATCCGTATCGAATTGTACCCGCCCATTTCATTGTCATTTTGACTGTAACAGATGGAAATGATGTTAGCTGCATATTTCCAATTTTGCCAGTTAATGTTCCACGGACTTCTACATGTATAGATATTCATGTACTTAATTGTCATACTAAGGAATGCTTTGCACAAAAATTTTGACAGGAAATTTACTTCAATTTACACATGTGCTTTAAATCATTTTAAAAAAATTTTTTTTTGATGAAAAATGGATGATCAATTTAAACTGCAGTAAATATATTATGTATTTCTTCCTTGCATCACTTTTATCATGTTTCTAACACTCAAATGCCCTTATGGCCATGATGGACAAATCATAAAATATTCAGTATGGTGTGGACAAGAGCTGATTTTTGTTGACTCAGCACATGTACAGGTACACACATCACCTGAACTGACTCCCAGATATTTAAAAAAAACCCAAACACACAGGTAACATTGGGTACCAGGTAAGGTCAGGTTGTATCTAGAGTATGAATCAGTCAAGGCTAAAATCACTCTTTTTGCTTAGATAAGCAATTACTGAAGGTCATTTGAATGTTCTATATGTTTTCAATGACAGTGATATGTAAAATCAAATACCAACCCATGCTTAATAAATAAGTCTTAAAAATGCATACGATGGCAACAAATTTACAACGAACACATAAAACCCGTTATCAACCATCCCTGTTGTTTACTGTAAAGATAAGAAATACAAAGTTTTGCCATTACAACAATCTCAGAGCCTCCATATTGATTTTCCAACAAGAATCTTTTTTATTCTGATACATGCATTCCTTCATTTTGTGGAGCTAATCTTATATTTGGGCTTCAAATCACTTCAGTAAACAGCCCTAATCAAGGCTTTTTTTTTATTAGCCTACCCCCAAAAATCAATCCCTCAACCATTTTCTATGCAACATAGATTTCTGTAACAAATACATCAACATCCTAAGCCTTGTTAAAGTGATCAATCACTTCTAAAATGTGCAGGAATAAAAAAAAATGGAACTGTCTTAATAATTGTCTTGCTTGGGAAGAAATGGACAGAAGTTTTGAATTTGTCAACAAGATGGTCAATGGTTATAGTTTAAAAAAAAATTGTTGTGAAAAATTTAAGGGGAAAAAATGAATATGTAGCATAGTGTTTGACATCACTCCATTCCTGAATCTCTTTAATATCTTGTAAGAAAATTAAAATATACTGGTAAGTTAATACTCTGATTGAGAACTTTTCACCTAATCTAAACAAGTACCTGTATTATTAGCTGTTCTGAAATGGATAAAAACTTGCTTTAATTACTAAAACTTATTAAATATTTCCTAATTATAATATGTAATTTACAATTACTTTTTAATGAAATTTTTTCCAATATAGAGATGCTGTATATGTTCGTAATTTACAAGGTACATTAATTACCTCAAACTCTTTGCCCAGTTTGTTCTTCAGCCATTCCTTCACACCTTCTAGATCCACCCCTGCCTTAATCAGACCTAGTTTTCCACGTCGCTTGATCAGCTGATCTGGTTTAACCACTAATTTCTGACAAATATAAAGGAATAGTAAGGCTTAGAAATTGCATACATACCTGTATTGCTAGTAAAAAGGTTGAATTTAGTATAAAAACTAGATACACTAAATCACATAGCATATTTCATTATAATGCCTTACACGTATCACTGAAATTTCTTTTGGATATATTTACAAGATTTTTTATTATCAATAGAATACATGTATACGGTATGATATATTTTTGTTCATCAAACCATAGATTAAATATAATTAACAAATATGCATAGGAATTCAAAATTGTTTAAAATGTAATTTTTCTTCAGTACATGTAATATGACACCCTATATTACTTCCTTTGAGTACATGTAATATAACAGTCCTATATTACTTCCTTTGAGTACATGTAACATAACAGCCCTATATTACTTTTTTTGAGTACATGTAACATAACTACCCTATATTACTTCTTTTGAGTACATGTAACATAACAGCCCTATATTACTTTCTTTGAGTACATGTAACATAACAGCCCTATATTACGTCCTTTGAGTACATGTAACATAACAGTCCTATATTAAATCCTTTGAGTACATGTAACATAACAGCCCTATATTACTTCTTTTGAGTACATGTAACATAACAGCCCTATATTACTTCCTTTGAGTACTGGTAACATAACAGTCCTATATTACTTCCTTTGAGTACATGTAACATAACAGTCCTATATTGGCCTTACTTCCTTTGAGTACATGTAATATAACAGTCCTATATTACTTCTTTTGAGTACATGTAATATAACAGCCCTATATTACTTCCTTTGAGTACATGTAACATAACAGTCCTATATTGGCCTTACTTCCTTTGAGTACATGTAACATAACAGCCCTATATTACTTCTTTTGAGTACATGTAACATAACAGCCCTATATTACTTCCTTTGAGTACTGGTAACATAACAGTCCTATATTACTTCCTTTGAGTACATGTAACATAACAGCCCTATATTACATCCTTTGAGTACATGTAACATAACAGTCCTATATTAAATCCTTTGAGTACATGTAACATAACAGTCCTATATTACTTCTTTTGAGTACATGTAACATAACAGCCCTATATTACTTCCTTTGAGTACTGGTAACATAACAGTCCTATATTACTTCCTTTGAGTACATGTAACATAACATTCCTATATTACTTCTTTTGAGTACATGTAATATAACAGCCCTATATTACTTCCTTTGAGTACATGTAACATAACAGCCCTATATTACTTCTTTTGAGTACATGTAACATAACAGCCCTATATTACTTCCTTTGAGTACTGGTAACATAACAGTCCTATATTACTTCCTTTGAGTACATGTAACATAACAGCCCTATATTAAATCCTTTGAGTACATGTAACATAACAGTCCTATATTACTTCCTTTGAGTACATGTAACATAACAGTCCTATATTACTTCCTTTGGGTACATGTAATATAACATCCCTATAATACTTCCTGTTCCATGTACCTGTTGACAAAATAATGCTATGTCAGAAAATTTTACTTCACTAACCTCAGTGAGGAGCCAGGGGTTGTTTGTGGTCAATGTGTCCCAGTTTACAGTTTCCGTGACAACAGCATATCTATTTTTCACAGCTTCATCTGTCAAATATTTGTTCAGCAGTTCCTTTCCTTTGACTTCATATATAGCCTTTGCAGACATTGTGGACTGTCAATTCTGCAAAGAGATTTAAATCTTCAGCACATATGTTTATATATACAAAGGTGCTTGTATCGTATTTCCACTGATGACAAAGAACCTCTAAAGTTTTGTTGACGAATTCTCTGAATAATGAACATGCATGCCTATAAATAAAGTACTTCCTCCCTAAGGAAACTGATAAGCGTGGGTATTTACATACCCCTGAAGTAGCAAAAGCACTTCTTCTGTAGATGATTTGTACTGTACGAAACATTCGTAATGTTGAACCATTTACATTGAATATCTTAAAACATGTACAATTAAAAATAATAATAAATATTCTAAAAATAAACATTAATATCCATAAAACTTAAATGGTTATTATAACTACAACAAATTTTAATAACATATGGAAAAGAATCTATAACTGACCTTTTCAAAATAAAAAACCTTAGGTATATTTCTGACACACACCAAACAAATTAAATATATAACAAATATCTGTGCGAGATGTACAACAAAGTCAACAAACTTAAAAGACCATCAGAAATTATTTATGATCAGAATTAAATGACCTTATGACCTGAATATCAAGCAGTTCATGGTCAGACAGATTGTAAAAGACAAGGAGAAACATATCATTTCTTTGGAATATTACATTTAATGTTGCTTAGTACACTGTAATCAGGAGTCAAAGACAGAAATGCATTCAGTATGTCTTACAACATGTACAAAGTAAAGCAATTTTTATTATGAATTTTTCAAGGACTTTACCAACCAATGACTGATTACATTATGAATGATCATAGTGTCTTTTTTTTTCAGTATCAAGGACAATTGAACCCGAGTACATGCATGTACATTTATCTTGACAATTTAGTCTGTATATGCACCCTGTATACCACAATCAAGCTACAAATCATCACAAGAACTTGTGGACAGGACCCTGCCTCTATGATGCAATCTCCCTCCCCCTTAATAATTTTTTATAATAATTTTTTCTTTAATATAATTTTCTTTTTTTTTTCTCTTATCACGTACTTCATCTAAATATTCCTGATGAAGAAAATTATGACAAAGATGCAAATTCAAATTATATTTACTACTCATGACTTGTATTTAGAGACTATAAATATGGGTCATAATTTTGATGTGATTTTTGAACAGGAACATGCAGATGAAGTGGTAAGAGATTAATTAAAATGGTGTAATGAAAAATAAATTTATTAAAATAAATTATAATTTTAAAAATGAGAGAATAGTAGTAGTGATTATATAAGCCCTTACAATGTAAAACTTTCTCTAAATACTCTAGAATTTTTTAAAAAATTTATTTAATTATTTATCAAACTCATTCATTTACTTAATGACATTATACTTAATTTGATAGAACATCCTCATAACTTAATGTAATGGGTATTGATAAATGTTATGCTTAAACCTTGTTTAATCAATTAATCCATATATAGCTCTGGTGGGAGTTTAAGTACAGGCATTCAGAGACATAAAACATAAGAATCAATTTCTGTCTTAAGATAAAACTAAAACTATTTCTATTGAGCAAAGCCAAAATATACACATAACTAATTCAAACAAAGAACTTGGAAAGATGATTTCAATTACCAATTAATGCATGCCAAACCCACTTTAAATTTATTCATTATTTTTCCCTTAATTTCCATCTTTTTAACAAAACATTTTGCAATTAAAAATATGAAGCACTCAATGATGCAATGGAAGATACAATTTATAAGGCAAAACAAATGTAGAGTATTAGCATATATAAGTTCAAATATATATACTTACAAAAAACCAGTAAAATCAATTGAAATCCCTTCTGAACTGCTTCCAATAGAACACAGTTTAGTGACACTATCAGTGTAAAGGATCAAGCCAGCAGGTTCCCAGTGTCTTAGCTGTTTAGCACACTAGCTTATTGATAAAGAATCCCACTTAGAGTTTCAGAGTAGCCCTCTAAGGGGGTATTGATCTAGGATCAAAGTATTGGGAAAATGTTGATGTAACAGGCCCAGTTTAACAATTCCCTATCTCTCCTACCACTACAAACAGTGAAAGTCAGCTGGTTTATTTACTAATGTTCAGTAAGCTGCAAAATTTCAGGGTTATCATGGTAAACATTGAATTTTCAGATGTTGGTCACCATATTATGAACAGCTGCTGGTAGAATTATTGGGTACTATGTATCTGACACCCTGTTAGATTAATATCTCAGTCTTCAACAATGCTGTCAATGTATTGATGTTCTTCAAAGAATAGATTGTGATCAAGTAACTTCAACAGCATATTAAGGAATAGATTATGGTTATGCAAGAATATAAAACACTTGTAGTGAACTGTGAAACAGAACTTCCATTTTCAATAAGATATTGTATATGAACAGGTCATACACTTGTTCTGTTTATTTTAGATCATGGGTTATTTTAATAATAATGTTTGTTTTTTTTGGTTTAAAAAAAAAATTCTTCAGTAATTGGTTGTGAGATAAGAAAAAAAAAAAATAAATGAAGATTTGTAATTTTCCTGAAAGACATTGCTGCAGTCGGCCCATAAGATACAGAATGAAATTTGTCAGGGGTCTCACCACAACGAATTAACACAGGCCCCTGACACTGTGAGGATGGAATGATTAAATACTAATGCATTGTGATAAGGAGGGAGGTTAAACAAGGTTGTAAAACTATGAGGGAGCATGAGCAATGTACAGTAAAACAAGCTTATAGTGAACATGCTTATAATGAATTGATGCTTATAGTGAAGTGATTTTCATTCCCCACGACTTTAAAATATATTGTAAACTTAACGGATATAACAAATTATGCTTATATGTATATATGTATGTATATATCATATATGGCTTATAACAAAGCAAAATCGTTGGCCCCTGGCACTTCTTTATAAGCATTTTATTTATGTACTTGCTTTGACATTTGGACTACTTATTGACATTTTTGCTTCCCTGGCATGCTCTCTTGTTTTATTTCAAAGTTCTCACTTCTTAACTCTATGGGTGAGGTAGAGAATTTTGCAGAGCAGTACCTAGACAGAATAATCTAACTGTGTCTTGATCAGGACAAACCCTCACCATAGTTAGTATAGTATGCGTATTAAGTTGCAATGTAGCAAATTAGAGCGGATCCCTCTGAAACAATTCAAAATAATACAAATGTAGTTGCACTGAAAATAGCTACCAAGTTATATCTAAAAAACCCTTCTGAGCTTAAATATGCCTTTCCCCTAAAAAGTAATCCATCTAAAGATTAAAATTCAACTTATTTTCTCAAAGTTTTTTCTTGCTTCAAATTTATATGCCATGTTGACATTCAGAACGCTCTGAATTATTCAAAGTAATTGTGTAGATAGAATTATCTACCCCTGTTTATTTTGCTACATTGCCAACACAATGAACAATTTCTATCATTAAACTGGATCCTTAGGACAATATCATTTTACATGCAATGATAGAATGTTCTATCCAGGCGGTACCTATTGGTGAACCATATAAAAAGGTAAAACAAAAAATTCATGTGCAAAAAAAATTATGAAATTAAAACTTCTACAAGTTTATAAATAAAATGCATAATTATCAACTTACGTCAAATTATTAAACAAAAGATTCATGTGCAAACTTAACAGAGCTGCTTAACAAATCAGACTTCCAAAAAGGAATTCAAAGGTAAAGAGAAGGTAATATTGCAATACATTAAAATATTTCATGATTAATTTTGCGAACTTTAGTCAAAGACACGTTTGAAACAGACTGCGGCATATATCCTGTCGCATGGACATGTGCTGCATGCAGTGACTACGGTGGAAAAACGTGCCGTGTCTAACCAGATAAGCTCTGCCCTTCTCAATAATTATTTAAATTTCAATTAGTAATAAGAAGCAGATACAAGAAAACGACTCTCTCCTTACCATGCAGAAGTGAGATGACAAAAGAGGAATGTTAAAAGGTTGCAACTCAATGCAAGATGAAGATCATCCGAGTATCGAATGATCCATGTCACCTTACCGGAAGTTTACAATTTTCGGTACAGACCCCGAGCCCGATGGAAATGGAAACTACAGGCCTCTGAATTTCTATTAATGCCGTTATATATGATTGAAACTGAAACATTAAAACCCCCTCTATTTATATATAGAGGGGGTATATATATATCACTCTGATCAATAATATACATGTAACGGCTTACTGAATTGATCCTTTGAATAGTTTTGATTGTCTTATAAAAATATCAAGAAAAAAAATGTGTTTCACCTTGCAGGTGATGCAAGGGACAAACAAAACCAATGAAAGAACATATATATCAAAATAATTGTGGACAAGGACTGCTTGTGTCCTAGAAGTTCAGAAACAAAAAGTATAAAGTACTCTGCATAATAATAAACTTTAATATATGGCAAAATTAGACTCAATCCTAGGGGGTCTGAATACTGGACCCATGGGAAATACATGTACATGCAAGCTATGTGGTTTTTATAGAGGGCTAGCCGATCTTAATAATTATGCAAATTTGCCTGCTAGTTTTCCATGAAATCTGAAGAACATTTATCAATAATGTAACGATTTTTCAATATACATTTATGTACATGTAATTATGACCAAGTTAGCCCTATCCCCGAGCCTGAACTCTCTCTCTCTCTCAAGGGCCCATGAATTTTATAAATTTATTAAAGGCTTTTTGTCTTTTATAATCCTCACCTTGCCCCCAGTTTTACTAATTAATGCTCAAGAGTAAATAAAAGACAGATCTTCGAAGATTGCATTAATTCTGATTGAAGTAGGGAGATGGCAAAATGTACCAACAGAAAATAGAATTTGTAAGTTATGTTCCGAAAATGAAATTGATGATGAATATCATTACTTATTTAATTGTAATGATCCATTTATTTTGAAATCAAGATTATCATTATATAATATAAATATCAAAGTATTATACTATTTATATCCAAATGTGTACAAGTTTGATCAACTTTTTAATACAAAAAATACAGTTGAATTGATAAAACTGTGGAAATTTATAAAAATGATCTTTGAGAGAGTTGACTCTCCTGGTTAATTCATTGTTAGTTTTTTGACTGTGTAATTTTTCTGTGTCATGCATGCACATATGCTTAACTATATTTGTAATCTGTCTCTACACTGTACTTAATGTCCGTTTATATTAGAATAAAGTCATTGTCGTTGATAACTTTGGCCCTATCCCTAGGACCCAAAGGAGGCAACGACAATGAATTGTATTATTTTTCTTCTAATTAACACATTATACTTAGATTGATAGAAATTGACTCAGTGGTTCCAGAGAAGAAAAGCTGAAAACCTTTAAAAGTTTTGGACCGACGCACGATAAACCCATTATATCTATCTTTAAAAAAATATCATAACTTTGATAATTTTATTAACTATTGGTCGTGATAGACTTGGTTGTAATTTTGATTATAATATAGTTTTGTTGCTTATAATTTGTAACACTTAGACTTCTACCAAAATTGTAGAATTTTTGACCTAGTATGGAATTGATCATCAATTACATGTATATGAGAGACATGTATATTTAAACAACCATGAAAAATGTACATACATATATATTTAGCAGTTAAATTGTTTGCATTACTATAATGAGCAGCAAGTTCTCCACAGAACTTTCCAAATTTATGTCCACTAGGAACCCACAGGCGCCTGAAGTGTGGATCGACCCCCCCTCCCCCCCTCCATAATTACAAAAATGTAAGAGGTTATAGTTTCTCAAAAATATACCCCCCCCCCTACGAAAGTGTGAATCATACATCTATATGTCGATCTCTGCAAACAGATTGTACTTTTTCTTATGTTTAGAGAATGGCCTTGCACGGTATAACAATCTTTATTATACTGTACAAAGCCATTCTCTAAATGTAAGAAAAAGTACGATCTGCTTGCATAAAACGACATATGGATGTAATTGACAAGAAATTTTTATATTTTCGAGAAATTATAAGATCTTAATTTTTTTTTTTTAATTAAAAAGGGGGGGGGTATCGATGATCTACCGGTATTCAAACTTAGGCGCCTGTGTTTGGACCGAGGATCAAATTTGGTCATACATTTTATTTTTATTTTATTATACTGTGTACATTAAATTATCTTCCTTTCTCCTAAAATTCTGAGAGACAAACTGCATACATATAACGATTATGAACTATATAAAATGTTTGTCACTTATAAATGTTCCACGACATGGTAGTTCTGGGTGAGCTGTGTAACCCATAATAACTCGGAAATCTCATGATACTCAAGCTTTTTTATAGGAGTTATCACACTTTGAGTGTTTTTTTCTATACCTGTGCCTGTTGACAAAAAGATGACCCGCTAATATATTTTTTCTTTAAATGACACTTGTCTAAGACAAACATCGACCCTTCCACGTCAAAACAGCGTGTCAACAATCATATATTTAAACCGTACCGCTACTATGACTGAAAAGGTCATTTTGTCTCTTTTGTTAACGATCATATAAACAAGTTGTCCATGAACTCGTGTACAAAGATGGTATTTTATGTGCTGGTTAAGGACAAGATAAATAAAAGTAGGAATTAAAAGGGGTGCGAAAACAGACAAAATACATCCAAGGCTGAAGGGATTTAGTGAGCTCTGGAACACGGTAAATGATTATCGCATGTAGCTGACCTATGAGATGTCGGTAATAAATATATGTCCTTCCTGATATACTTTATTTTATCAAATAAAATATTTTATTTGAAAAGATAAAGTATATCAGAAGGACATATATATTAAAGCTTTATTAATTCTGATCATGATTTCTAAAGCTTCTGATCCCATCTCTATAAATACTGTGAAAGTGTCTTTATTTTTTTATCTCCTGCTCAGCCTTGGACAAATCAGAACTTTCACACCATTAATAAGCAGGGTTGCACATTTTTCATCAAATACAAAATTTCTGATTTCATAATCTTTTGTTATTCCAAATAGATCCCTATATTTTACTTACGACTCTGTTTTAATTAATACGTTCTAAATACATATTTATTACTCCTCCTTGATTCAATCTTGATAGTATGCAGTAAAAATTCACTGATTATTATGCCTTAAAACGGTGCAACCTAATGAATTTAAATCAAGTAATAGATTACACCTATACTTATTTTTTTCCTATATATAAATGCAGTACAGCCCCTTTGAATATCATCACTTCAACATTCTATAATCTCTCCAGCTGACGACTTATGAAGGAAACAACAGATACATTTTTGAATGAATTTTAATATTTTTTAATTTGTTAATTCCTTTGTTGTAAACTAGCAAAACGATCGACACATGAGATCCTTGTCATAAATTGAAACATATTTGAACAGATATACATTTAAATTTAAAATAGAATCTCTCATACGAATTCTTTCTTTGAAGGTGATTTGTTTTACATGCTGCGAGCAGAATTTAAGTGAAACAAGATCTAGATGTGTTTTTGAAACACTGATGCCCCCGTATGGCAACTTATAGCGAAGGTTAAACTTTCTTAAATGCAATTCCAAATGCAAATCAAATATGTTGGTACCCAAAGTAAGGTCTTGTCTCAAGGATGTACCTGTGAAATATGAAAGCCATAGCAGTAACCATTGAAAAGATATGGAAAAGGTTAAAAGATTTTCAAAAGTAAGTCAAACATCAAGGTCAAGGTCAAATGGTCAAAATTAATGGTGCCCCAAAAAAGGCCTTCTCACAAGAATTAAATACACATGTGAAATATAAAAGCTCTAGCACCAACCGTTCAAAAGTTATGGCCAAGGTTAAAGTTTTTCTAAAGTAGGTCAAACTCCAAGGTCAAGGTCAATATATAATAGGCTATAATTGTTGGTATCCAAAGGAAGGTCTTGTCACAAGGAATACACAAGTGAAGTATGAAAGCCCTAGCACCAACCGTTCAAAGGTTAGGCCAAGGTTAAAGTTTTCCAAAAGTAGGCCAAACTCCAAGGTCAAGGTCAAAGGGTCAAAGTTGTTGGTATCCAAAGAAAGGCCTTGTCATAAGGATTACACTTGTGAAGTTTGAAAGACCTAGCATTAACTGTTCAAATGTTAGGGCAAAGGTTAAAGTTAGGTAAAATTCTGTAAAACTGGGTCAAACTCTAAGGTCAAGGTCAAAATCAAATATGATGGTACCCAAAGAAAGGTCTTGTCACAAGGAATACACATGTGAAATATGAAAGCCATAGGTCCAAGAAATCAAAAGTTATGGCAAGGTTAAGGTTTTTGCGGACAAACAGACAAACATACAGCTAGACAGGCAGACGGACGGACAGGGCAAAAACTATATGCCCCCGAATCTTTGATTACGGGGGCATAAAAAGTGATTTTCCCCAGACGACTGAACCGTCAGAAAGTACTGAGTGACAATAATGATACACATTAAAATACAGAGAATAAAATATTAAAAGTAATCAGTATGTTAAATCCTCAATGAGGAAATTGATTTAGAAATTGGCATAAAATGTAGGAATCGGAAAAACACCGCAGGGCCGTATATACTATGATGCTTACATGAATAAAATTGTGATTATAGTTGAAAAATTCTGCTTGGTCTTTCTAGTACGTAGAACCATGTTTCTCCGAATTCTACCTGTCTCTTTATGCATAAATAAACTACTTTTCCTGTATAAATTACAAAACAGAAATATTTACTTTACAAAGTAAAGCATTTAACGACTTTTAATTAATTTGTTGATGAATTTTAAAAATCTCCTCACGAAATGACCGGAAACTTTTTGACCTTTACATTCTGGAATTCGGAGAACTTTTGTGTAACATAATATTCATGTACCTGTAGAGCCGAACATGACGGTTCGTACCTGTGTGTTATATAAACCACAAACCACAGGTAATAGTTGACAACATTCCGTTTCAAATCTAATGAACTTCAAAACAAACGTTGCCAAGCCGTTCACCTGTAAATGATCTTTTTAAGAAAGAATTTGTAACATTGATGGAAAAATTACGAAT